ACATATGTCAAATATGTCAAATATATTAAAATTTGTAACATTTTTGAAAAAATTTTACACAGGTGACTAATAATCTCCTATTTACTAGTGATTCGGTACGTTACTGAGCCTACATTGAATGCGCATGCGCCAGAAATCCGTCCCATCTAACGACACTGATTCAAGACCGTCTTAAGGGATGCTAGAGTCACGGTCACAAGTTAATCAAGGTCGATAGTATTGACTCTTTTTACATTCCAAATTCGATAATAGTGACATCTTTCATTTATTTCTTATAACGAATTCGATCACTAGCGCTACACTAAGGGTGCGTTCCGTTTCTCGCATGATGCGCGTGGAGAGCATGGAAGGCGTTCCGTTTCACTCCATGCTCCATTCATGCGCGCATGAGACGGCAGGGTGTCTATACGACTCGCAGCGTAAGACAGCGCATGGGCTGCCTCAGCTCCCGAGGTGAGGCAGTTCATGCAATGTCAATGCGCGAGGATTACGTTAGTCATTTTAGGCGGGAAAAAGTAACTAATTATTTCTATTGTTATTAGTAGGGTATATAGGCGGATTTTAATTCGGAATTAGAATCTACCTATATACCCTACTGTTATTGTATGACATTATTGTGTGAAAAACCACATTTCTTTAAAAATGAAAGAACTTTATGTTTACGAAAACGATGAATTATAAATATTAAACGTATTCAACGCTGAATTCATAGCAGCAACAACTGATAGTAAGGAATATGGTAAAAAATTGTTCATATATATATAAATATGTATAAATATTTATAAACATATATAATTGTATATGAAGTTAAATACAATTATTATAATTACATATGTAATTATATATATCCACGTGTGTTTATTCATTCTTTTTTCTTTTGTGTAAAATTGTTTTTTAGTGTAATAAAAATAATAATAAGAAAATGTCAAATATAAAATTAAAGGGACAATTTTCGCATTGTTTGTTTTAGAAAAAAATCAAATTTAGAGAAATGTAAAAAAAATTACTCATACACATACATAATTATGTATAATTTTACATATAAAAAATTATCAGCAATTTTTTTACATTTCTCCAGATTTCTTTTTTAAAACAAATAATGGGAAAATAATAGAGAAATAATGGGAAAATTATCATTTTAATTTTTTTAATGTCTTCATTATTGTTATTATTTTTAACAATAATGAAGTTTAACAATAATGAAGTTTTTTTCCTTACTATCAGTTGTTGCTGCTATGAATTCAGCGTTGAATACGTTTAATATTTATAATTCATCGTTTTCGTAAACATAAAGTTCTTTCATTTTTAAAGAAATGTGTCACACGTATGTGTGACTGCGTGTATCATAGGCTGCGTGAGATATTGCTGTGGTAGTATAAAAAGACATGTCGATG